TTAGTCAACAGAGCCAAATGTCAACAGTACAACGATTAAAATTTCTTTTGAGAGCCAAATTTTTAAAACTTAAGACTTCTTCTAACGCCACTTCTTCAAAATAGACTCGCCCAGGCCATGGTATTTTGTGGAAGAGCCACATTCAAGGGGCCAAAGAGCCGCATGTGACACATAAACCACAGTTTGCTGTATATTATATATATATATATATATATATATATATATATATATATATATATATATAAATTATAACATATAAATTTATAAAATATAAATTACATATATATATTTCAACCATATTAAAGAAAATCTTGCCATTCGTGACAATATGGATTGACCTGGAACATTATGCTGAGTATAAGTCAGAGAAAAACACATATCATATGATCTCATTTATTTTTTTATTTTTATTTATTTTTAAAATATATTTTGTTGATTTTTTATAGAGAGGAAGGGAAAGAGATAGAGCTAGAAACATCGATGATAGAGAAATATTGACCAGCTGTCTCCTGGACACCCCCTACCAGGGATGTGCCCGCAACCAACGTATATGCCCTTGACCAGAATCGAACCTGGGACCTTTCAGTCCTCAGACTGAAGCTCTACCACTGAGCCAAACTGGTTTTGGCTCATATGATCTCATTTAGATGTGGAGTCTCAAAACAAAATAAAAACATGGGCTAATAGATCCAGATAATAAATTGGTGTTTGCCAGAGGAGGATGAAATGGGTCAAGTGGCTAAAAAGAACAAACTTATAGCTATAAAATAAGTTATGAAATGAAATGTACAGCATGATGACTATAATTAATATTGCATTGTATATTTGACAGTTGATTACAGTGTTCTCTACCATGTTTCCCCGAAAATAAGATATCCTCCGAAAATAAGGCCTACTTATAGGTTTCCTTCTGAGTGAAATATAAGGCATCCCCCCAAAACTAAGCCCCCCCCCCCAGGCTAAACATGAGAGATTTGGTCCACTGATTCTGAAAGAAATGGAATCACAATAAATTCACCAGGAAATTCAGGAATTGGATTGTTATGATGTCCTAGATAATGATGATATGTCATTGAATCAATGAGTAAATTCTTGATACTGTAGGACTCACAGTTTGTCTGGTTTGTGTTGACAACTACCGTACCGTATACAGGTAATAAATTTCCTTTATTTTCATTTAACAATAAATGTGTACTGTATTCTTCTTTGTGAAAAATAAGACATCCCTGAAAATAAGAGCTAACGCATCTTTGGGAGCAAAATTAATATAAGACACTGTCTTATTTTCGGGGAAACAGGGTAGTTATGCTGAAGCTGTGGATCATGTGTTGCCTTATTTTTGTCATTCGATATAGTTGTTAGAAAAACTTGTCAAGATTTAGTTTTTGGTGACTTCCATTCTCCTTAGAATACTAGGTTCCAACTTTTTCCCCTTAGCAAACCGATTTTAGGAACCCTTCATATTGAGATTAAGGGATGGCAGTATGGCATAGTTTTCTAGACTGTCATACAGCATTTTCTCTTGAGAGGTGCTGCTGGACATGCTCAACTTTATTTGGAATCAAGTAGCATCCAATTCATAAGGGACAGTCTCCATTAAGCCTAATCCCTGACTAAGAACTGTTTCTCATGAGGTGAATTTTTTACCTAAGAGGTCATGAATTTGTTCCAAATGAAATTGAATGCTTCACTCAAACATCATAATTAGTGACACATTTCCAGTACATTAGGCCTATTGAGTCAAAAGTAGTGAAGTGCATAGCTGCTTGCATTGCTGTATTTACCACCTGATTTTATCCTGGATCCCTACTTGAAACCCGTTAACTTCTGGTCACTGAGTAATAGATCAGTGTCGGTTTCCCTAATGTGTTTCTGTTCAGATTATGGTTCACTAGAGATCATTTTGTTTCTGAGAAGTTATATGTCTTTTTACCTTAAAAATTTTATATAGATGACAGATATTCATCATTGCACTGTGTCTCCAGTAAAGGAAACCTGTAAAGTGTTCTCAGTAGCTTTCCTCATAATCACTTAGTTTTTTATACATACTTCCAATTTTGTTTGCAAATATAGGAACATACACATTTTCTCCCTCTTCATCCAAAAATACAGCATAGTATATTACACACTTATTTCAGAACATTACCCTTTTTCACTTAACACTAACTCTATATTAGGTATAAAGAACTGTCCCTATTCTTTTTTGTAAAACTTCTTAATATGCATCAATAAATGTATTTTTATTTAGTCCTCGAATGATGGGTATCGAGTTACAAATATGTTTCAATGAATGGCCTTTTACATACATCATATGCACACATGCAAATATATCCCAGAAGTAGGGTTTCGGGTCAAAAGATTTAAGTATTTGTAATTTTGGATGACAGCTGTTAAATTGCTCTATATATCATTTTATAATCGCACTGGCAATGTATGCGAATGCACTTCCTTAAAGGCTTACCAAAAGTTTGTCAAACTTTAAAATTTCTGCACATCTAAACTTTTAATTTGCATTTCTCTTATTAGATAAATGATATTTTTAAATATATTTAATAGTCATCTGTCACCCACCAATTCATGCATTTTATCCATTTTTCTTTTGAGTGGCCTTTTCTTATTGGTATTTGGAAATATTTGAGATTAGCTTTTTGTGAAGAAGTTCCAATTATTTTCCATGTTTATCACTTACTTTTTAATATAACCTTTGGTACTTTCTAGCCACTCAGGCTTTTCCTTTAAAACTGGACCTATCTACCATTTTTATTATGGCTTCTAGAACTTGAATCAGAGAAATCTTTTCTTCTCCAACATTGTAAAAGCAAACTGGAGATAAAAATCAAACTTTCTGTACAAAATTGCACAAAGATTTTGATAAAGGGATATCTTCAGAAGAGACATCAATAATGGCTTGTGATCAACTGACCAGGGAAGCCCTCATTTGAATCAAAGATCTTTTATAAGAATTAAAGTAGCAGATAACTAGTAGCTGTTCACAAGCCAAATGAAATTCATATACAGGATGACAAAAATTAACTGCTCAACCACAATATCATAGAAAGGGACCGTGTTTGACAAGAATATCAGGATTTCTAGATTTCTGGTTGAAGGGAACAAAAGAGATGAAAAACTAGTACAATTAAATGAATACTACATTCTTTACCCAGGATAGGTTTGTAGTTTTGAGTACTCAAACTGTTTATTCTTGTATTATTTACTAGTGTTTCCATACGCACAACTGTAAACTCACTTTTGCCCCACCTTGTGTAATTATACCAAAATAGCATTAGCTACCACTTGAGTGCCTTCTATCTGGCAGATATTTTACCTTTAACATTATAAAGTGTTTATCACTATTTTACAGATGTAAAATTTTGTCCAAGTTCAAAGAGCTGTTAGTTGGCAGAAATGGTCATCAAATCTGATATTAAAGTTTCCTATCACATTACCAAGGAACTCGAAATACACAGTGCGGTTGATAAGCTCCTCAACTGTATTTTTCAAAGTGAAAAAGCAATGTGGGAACTTGTAATTATTATGATTTGGGCCACTCCAAACATTCCTAAGAAAAATTAATGTATTTTTCTTTTGATTTGGAATCTGAGTCCTAAGGATATTAACACAGTAACTGACATTCATTGTATGTTTGTTGAAGGGTGATATGAACCCAAGTCATGATAATTGTAAAATTCATGCAATTCACACAGGAATATTAAGTACAGTATATATGGTTATTTAAATTAGAAAACCTAAGATGGTAACTTGGAAAGTTAATTACTGCATTTGGTTATATGAAATGGACTTTCTGTAGAGGATGAAAAAAAATGAGACTAATTTATTATCCATAAAACTTGTGCTAGAAACTATTAAATTTCTCCTATTAAGGAGAGATATTTGTAACCATTTAATATTCTATGTATGCAAATCCTGTGTCATACAACTACACAATGAACTGATCAACAAAGTTAATGTCAGTATCAAAGAATGTATTTTTGTCTCTATTGATGATGCAAACCATCAATAGAAATTCATCATGAATGTACACTACTGAAATATTAAACAATCAAATGACCCGATTCATTAATTATTTAGGAAACTTCATTGGGTTGATCAACAAAATATTTCCATTGGCCTCTGAAAAGGAATTTTATCACTGTATTTCATAAGACCAACAACTTTCTGAATACCCTTTGTTTTGGTCCCAGGAAGACACAGAGCCTATGACTGTACACCCAGTAAACACTCTTCTTGAGAAAGGTCAAGTAATTGTGAGAGCTAATTTTTTGTGCATACTAATTAAAAAAAAATAAAACATATGCATATTCAAACATCACATATTTAATGTCAAAAATTTGAATTCAAGTACAAAAATTAAACAACACATGATTTCAACATTAAATAACCATAACACTTATTACTCAAACAACTACACAGTGAATATCAAAAACACAAGTATAACCATATAAACCTTAACTACATTAACAGCAAAATTATGATTTATTTCTATAACAAATAATTAACTAAAATATTAATAGTTCAAGGACCACAATGGTTAATTGCTTTTTTCTTTAGTACCGAGTAAAATTTGTTTCTCTTTATCTCCTTCATTTCTTTCTACATAATAGTTAGATGCTTCTGGTTATAATTGTTCTCATCTCTAAGACAGAAAGTGATCCTTGGTAATCAAATCCAGTGTAACCATTGTCTGCAAGTGCTTTAATATTGTGAAATGCTATATAGCAAAGTTATTATGCAAAAATTTAGCATAAACTAATGGGTTTTATTGCTTGCTCATGAATTAGAAGTATTTAAGGTGGCAAAAGTTTACATTTTTATAAGTTCCAACAACGGTGGATAATTCTGAATTATGGCTCATGTTTGTTGAAATAAATATATATCTATCATTTTAAAACCAAAAGTGCAAGCCCAATTCTAAAATAGAACAGTATTTTAATTAGCATGCTTTACAAAGAAACTTTCATACTCATGTTTACAGTATTTCTTCAGAAGAATGAGGCCTGATTGGAGATATACAGTCGCTGTCCAACATGGCTGCCATTAGCAAGTGATATTGTTGGTGATAAGGGAAAGCTTGGATAAGAATAAGGCCTTGAAGTATAAGGAAGCACGCTGGGAGTCCCAGAAGAGAGGGTAGCACTAACAGGGGAAAGACTATTTATTGAGCTGCGACGGAAATTGTAGTCTGTAAATAAATACATGAACAATTATGCTGCACATCTTTATGGATACAAATTTAATTCAAAGAGGCAAAGCATTAAAACTATAATCACTGTTTAACATAATGTTCTAATACTCAAAATCCTGGCAATACTATATTGCTGGTTAAAACTGTGTCAGTATTCACTGCATGGCAAATCCTAACTGTTTAATCAATCAGTATTATGTTTCTTTCACTGACAGTGCTTCAGAGATCTTACTAAAATACATTCTTAGATATCTATTTCTTGGATATCTATTAATTGTTTTGTGTCTTTTTTATCACAAAAAATCTCTGATTTCTAAAGATAAAAATAGCAAATTCATATTTACTTCTCTTTTGGAAACTGTATTAGGTATCAAACCAGCAAAAACATTCACCCCTGGACTATAAAACTAACTGTCCAATATTTCATTATTTAAATACTAATATAAACATTTATATAACTCAACACATCAATTTAATATTAGCCTCCTACTGGTACCATAAAACAGTAAAATGAATCATCTTTATAAAGTAAACTTCAAAAAAACATTATCAACTTATAGTATAGAAAAATCCAAAAATTTAACCAAATTTTGAGAAAAACAATTACATTTGAATTACTGCTTCACAATAAACATTCATCTTATGCAGCAATAATTTCCTGCTTCATTAATTGTAACATTTATAGATGTGTGTGAATATTAAAGACCAAATTTATAAATCCCATATTTTCCAAAAACTCAACTATGTTCTTTAGTACAGAATAAGCCATAGGTGTGACAATAACTATAAAACAATTATTTATAGAAGTTATGGTGTTTTTGAGAATGAACAAAAAGGAATTAGGTCATCTAATATACAGATAAAAGTTTGTTTTTATATTTCCTAGAACTATATATTGAGGCCTAAAACAAATCGAGCATTAACTTAATGTTGTCATGGGACTTAATATTTAGCCAACAGGAATGAGATCAACTGCAGAAGAATAAGCTCAAGCAACATCAGAAAGGACCTAGTTAAGAAAAAAATATGGAAAAATAAAAATCAATTAAACATTGGTTTGATTTCCAGCATTGTAAAATACTAATTAGAATAACTTTATAATCTTTGTATTTTTATTTATGGTACAAGATTAGTAAAAGCAGTTTGTTTTCCAAGAAGACATAAGACATTAAAAGCATCCAGTTCAAAATATTCCTAGTATTTGAAAATTGGATAAGGAATTACTTTTATACCAAAGTAGGATAACTGCAGGTATCACAGAATTCTTCTCTTAAAGGATCCACTTTGCCTAACAGGTTATGGTATTAAGTATAAACAGAAAGATAAAGCTCCTATAATCCAAATCATTGCTTTAAAAAAAGTTATGGTTCTCTCCTCCTAAAGATAATTACATCAATACAGTCAATTTCTTTTAAGCCACGTGGCTATGACACAACTAAAAGCTCTTTCAATTCCAATAGACAAGACTGAGAAGAGTAGATCTTTAGTAGGAGGGGAAAAGTTTCACAGAGAAGCCAATTTCATTTTGGGTTTATATCCATTCAAGAGCTAATGTGGACAGAAGAGATACCTTTAGAGGAAGATTTCACAAACATAGCCAGAAAACTGACTAATGGCATATAGTGCTTAGGTCTGGAAATGTGCGTTTCTGATAGTACCATACTGTAAGGCTTTAATTTAAAAAATACTCTACTCAACTATTATATTCTCACATTTTTAAGGAGACAATCAAAATACAAAATTAGAAATAAACACTAATGACTTCATATAAGATAAATCAAAAGAAGAAAATCTTCCCCAAATACTATAAAGATTAGAAAACAAAAAACTTCAGATGTTTATAAGATTTGCAATTATTTCATAAAGTTGTGCAACCCACACCGATATAGAGAATACTTTCATCACTCTAAACAGAAACCCAATACCTATTAACAGTCATTCCTCATTCCTTCTCCCAGACCAGCAACCACTAATTTTTCTGTTTGTATAGACTTCCCTATTCTGGATTTTTCATGTAAATAGAACCATACAATTTATGTCATCCTTTCTAACTGGCTTCTTAGCATAAAATGTTTTCAAGGTTCAACCATGTTGTAGTATGTACCAGAACTTCTTTCCATTTTATATTAATTGTATGTATACTATACAACATCTTATTTATCTATTAACTAGTCAATGGTCATTAAGCTTGTTTCTACCTTTTGGCTACTATAAATAATGCTGCTAAGAAATGATTTGTACAAGATTTTTCATGAACATATGTTTTCAATTCTCTTGAATGAATACCTAGGAATGGAATTGCTGATACATATAGTAACACTATATTTAACTTTTTGAGGTACTATCAAACACAGCTTATACCATTTTACACTCCCAACACCAATCTATAAGAGTAAAGCACCTGAGAGTTTGATCTACACAATACATTTCCCATACTTCATATTTTAAGCATTTATTTCAATTTGGATGGGACATTAAAATTTTTTAATGTCATTTCACCATTATTATTTAATATTTAAATATTAGCCACGATTGAAATAATTCAATAGTTTTTCTTCACTGGGCACTGAATTTCATCTGAAAAAGTGTTTTTTATTTTTATTTTTTTATTTTTTTAAATATATTTTATTGATTTTGTACAGAAAGGAAGGGAGAGAGATAGTTAGAAACATCCGTGAGAGAGAGTCATCAATCAGCTGCCTCTTGCACACCCCCTACTGGGGATATGCCCGTAACCAAGGTACATGCCCTTGACCGGAATCGAACCCGGGACCCTTCAGTCCCCAAGCCGACGCTCTATCCATTGAGCCAAACAGGTCCCAGCACAAAGTGTTTTTTAAATAACACTGTACATACCCAGAAGGTAAAGTACAGCTGGATTCAAACAAAGTTAAAAAAAATTCATCTATGTTATAAAATATAAATTATTTATCATTTATTACTTTGTACTTTCCATCCTAGTACAGAACATCAAAAGCTAAGTATAAAGTTGAAGGGAGATTTTTTAGAATTGCTAGTTATTAAGCAACTTAAACCTATGAAATATTTAAAAAACATTAACTAGAAAAATTTAAGTGATACTTTTGGCTGAAATACATTAGTATGATCAAATTCACTGTTGTTGTTTTTATAATCTCACTTTCCCTAATAAAATTATATTTTGACAAAATTTAAAAAAGATCATTTTTTTGTGTGTTTTTTTTTCTTTAGCCCGCCCCCAAAAAGATAATTTTTATCCTCTACTTGATTTTTCCTATCTGGCAACTGACAGCAAAGGGCAAGAAGTAAATATTAAATGACCGATGTTTTTAGTTTGTTTTTTTCCTAAGACTAAGCACAGAGTAGTTTAGGTCTGTTTTAAGATGATTTAGAGGAGGCTTTGAGTATGCTAATCTTAGTAATGGCTGGCTGGATAAGAAAGGAAGTTATTGTCTCTGGTTCCTATAAAGTTCTAGTTAGTTAATTTTCTATTTTTACTAGAGTAATGATATTTTTCAGACTCAAATTCAGAAAAAAATTTCATCTGCATTTGATTTTAACTAAATGATTTTTTAGATTTACAATATACCATGCCATATAAGTTTGAAACAGTGATATCTATAGGTTAAATTATCTGAAGATTATAACTTAAATCTTCAAAAACAAGGATTTGAAATTCTAAAAAATGCAAACCAATCTATAGTGATAGCAAACAGATCAATGGTTGCCTGTGAAAGAGCGGAGGAATGAATTACATTAGGGGTAATAGGAATGTTTGTTTTATTGATTGTGGTGTCATTTAACAGATGAATATATGTCAAAACTGACCAAAGTGTAGTTTTTCTTTTTATTCTTTACGATTTTTTAATTGATTTTTAGAAAGAAAAGGGAGAGGGAGAGAGAGAAACACTGATCAGCTGCCAGGGATCAAGCCCACTCTCACTAGGAACTGAACTGACCACCCTTCAGTGCATGGGATAATACCCAACCAACTGAGCCACACCAGCCAGGGAAAGTGTGGATGTTAAATATGTGCATTTTATTATATTTCAGTTATATCTCAATAAAGTTATAAACAAACCCAACTGTTTCTCTTGAGTTAATTCCAGTGTTTTCTCAAACTACATCCCATACAATTGAAGTAGAATTGTATCTACTTCAAAAGAAGAATCCCTTAGCAAAAAAAATTTAAAAACCTTGGAAAAATTTAGGAAAGATAAGTTTGACAGTTAAACAGATTGCCACCACAATTATGCAATATGCTAATAAGCATTATGATTTCCCCAGGGGAATACTCAGTACAGTTTTTCCCAAATTTGTTTGGTCTTAAAAACAGTATTTCACTGAAGAACTTTATAAATCAGTTTGGCAAAAACTTTTAATAGGGCCAGGACCGGTTTAGCTCAGTGGATAGAGCGTCAGCCTGGGGACTGAAAGGTCCTGGGTTTGATTCCGGTCAAGGGCATGTACCTTGATTGCGGACGCATCCCCAGTAGGGGGTGTGTAAGAGGCAGCTGGTCGATGATTCTCTCTCATCGATGTTTCTAACTCTCTATCCCTCTCTCTTCCTCTCTGTGAAAAATCAATAAAATATATTTTTTTAAAAACTTTTAATAGGAATAACATATAATATGAAAACTTTAAAAGCAAAACAAAAACTTTTGAAATATATTAAACAGAGTGATTACAAACTCAAATACCTTCAGAGGCCAAGATGTAACAAACAAAACTCAAAAAGAATCAAGTGGAAATAGTATGCATCTAGCTATTTGTACTGAAATTAAGCCTACTTGCTTTCCTTTCAAAAAGCTGAAGAGACCCAACAAATCATATCTAGAGCTTCTAGTTTGCTACTTCGTATTAAGAGATTATAATGTCAAATTTCTTTTAATACCAGTTTCTAAACCACTTGGAAAGACAGTAATAGAAAGGCAGCCTATAAGAGAAAAAATTATGATCTGAACTGCAACAATCTAGGCTTCAGGAATAGCTCCAAAACTGTAGCTCACTAGAAATAT